GCAAGTCTGTAAAAGTTACAGGAACAAGGCACCCATATTACAATACCCTTTAATTAGTAGAACCGATTACCTGGAACCAGTGTCGCCATGCTTGAGTGACATTGTAAAACTGTGCAACTGCAATATGACTGAACATTGCCAGGTGCCGAACATCAGGAGCTTACATACATGGAGGAGAGTCGAAGCTGAACTCCCCAGCCAACTTAGCTGACACAAATGACTGTGACAGAACCACTGTGTCTTTAATAACTCAGTACACCAACTTTTGTGTGTGTCTCTCCCACTATCTCTTGCTTGCTCCGTGCGACTTAACTAATAAAATCTTTGTCCACGTCCTACTTCATGAATCACCTCAAAGTTCTTTTTGTCTTGCACATTCAGGAACCAGAAACAGGAAAGGGGTGGCAAGGAAATGAGCTGAGGATCTCTCTTGAGATCTTCCTCGATCCTTTCTCCTATGACAGGACCAGCCTGAGGATGGAGCCAACAGTCAATGCAGACATGGATGGAAAGATGGCGCAAGGGGTAGCTCAGTGCTCAGTGGTAGAGTGCATGCTGACTAGGCCATGGGTTCAATCCCCAGTATCCAAAAAAAAAAAGTCGGCCCATGATATAATTAAGCTGTTGAACTAGTGGACTATAACATCAGTCCTACCTTAAAATTTAGGACTTAAAATTATGCCAAAAGAATACCCGTCCCACTGCTTCCCTCCCTTCCTTCTAAGACGAGGTCTTACTATATTATCCAGGTTAGCCCGGAGCTCCTGGCCTCAAATGATCCTTCTGCCTTAGCTCCTGAGTAGCTGAAGTTACAGGTAAGTGCCACTAAGCTCAGATAATTGATTTTTTTTGAGGGGTATCATAACGTTTATTTCCTATTTTTTTTTTCCCAGATAACTTTCCCAAGGCTGGCCTTAGGAGAGTTCTTCTGACTCCACCTCCAGAGTACTGGGATTATGCGCATGCAGCAACTTACCCAGCCTAGAATTGTTTTATTTCTGATCTTAAAACATGAGTCAAGCCGGGTGCTGCTGGCTCACACCTGTAATCCTACCTCCTTGGGAGGCTGAGATCATGAGGATTGCAGTTTGAGGCCAGTTCAAGCAAACAGTATGTGAGACCCCCATTTCAACTAATAACTGGTTGAGGTGGCACACACCTGTCATCCCAAGCTACATGTGAGGTTGAAATCAGGAGGATCGTAGTTCTAGGTCAGCCTAGGCAAAAAAGTTTTTGAGAGCCAACACAATTAAAAAACAGCTGGGTAGAGGTTCCAGGACAGAACATAAGAGCAGAATGACAGCTGAAGACCCAGGGAAGGGCACTCTCAGGAGAGGAAAAAGCCACATGGCAGGTAACCAGGCCCATACAGGTGCAAGGATCCACTGGGCATTCTAAACGAATCAGATGCATAGCTGTCACTTCACGTAGCAGAAGACTGCTTCCAGTATCCAAAAAAAAAAAAAAAAAAAAAGTGGGCCCATGATATAATTAAGCTACTGAACCAGTGGACTATAACATTAGTCTTGCCTTGGGAAAAGCAGTGGATGCTCAAGTCAAGTTGCATATACGTAATAGTATTTGTACTCTCTCATATGTTTATTCATTAATTTTTGTGGGGCTGGGGATCCAACCCAAGGCCTCAAACATGGTAAGTGCTCTGCCATTGAGCTACATCCTCAGCCTTCCCATATCTCTTAAATTATCTCTAGTTATACCTTTGTTTTCTTTTTTATTTTAAGTTACTTATAATACTTAATTTGATATAAATGCTATGTGAAGAGTTGTTATACTTATCTGTTTAGGGAAAACAAGAGAAAAAGACTACATTTTTGGTAGAGATGCAAATCTTTCCCTGAATATTTTTCATCTGCGTTGAATCCACAGATGGATCCATAGAGTCAGAATGTGAACATTTTCATCCACTGAAACCCTGGATAGGGAGTAAATTTCCTATCACCCTCAGAGTTGGAAGCATAGAAGAGAAACTCTTAGATTAGAAAAGCAAAACAATGTACTGTGCAGCTGATTAAAATGTACAAATGCTGAGACCCTGACTCAGTTTAAAAAAGGGATGGTAAGCCAGGCACCTGTGGCTCATGCATGTAATCCTAGCTATTCAGGAGGCAGAGATCAGGATCAGGGTTCGAAGCCAGCCAGGGCAAACAGTTTGTGATACCCTAATCTTGAAAAAAAAAAAAAATTGCAAAAAAGGGCTAGTGGAGTGGGTCAAGGTGTAGGCCCTGAGTTCAAATCCCAGTACCTCCAGGAGGGGTGAGGGAAGGAATGGTTGGGCTCAAGTAGTAGAACACCTGCCTAGCAAGTGCAAGGTGAGTTCCAGATCCAGGAACAGGACAAAAGGTGGGGGGTGCAGGAGAGGGAGACAGTGTCTTAGGGAGGATGGAGAGCACAAAAGGAGGGGCTGAGGCTGTAGCTCACTGGTGGAGCATGTGCTTATTTATTCTGTGTCAGGTGCTGGGTTCAGTCACCTAGGAACGGCAGCCCTGGAAGGTAGTTTTCTGCTGCCATGTGATTCAGATCTGGAACGAGTGTAGCTTTCCCCAGTAAAGCTGCTGTCAAACTAGTCCTGTGTGCACTCCAGGGCACAGCAGGAAGTTCTCGGAAGAGCTGTCTCTGAAAGTTAGTTCTGTGTTCTCAACTGCCCTGAATGAGTATAAAAGGGCAGTATTGTCCAATTTACTGTTTATTAAGCACCTTTATATGCCTGGCCTTCTACTGGGTGGTGGAACATAAAGAAGACTGAGAAAAGCTGGAGTTAATCAGCCTTGGCACACGTAATTAACGAGGATTTTTCTTTCCTGCTGCTGCTGGCCTGGCTGGCTAAAGCTGTTGAAAATCCCTAATTATCCTACTCTGAGACAAGGAAGTTAATGACAGCAACTGCTTTTCTAAGCAGCAGTCTTAGTTTCTGCCTTTATCCTTAGGAAAAGTACCAGGCACACAAACTGTTAACTCAATTAGATGTGAAGCAGTAACCTACCCAAGTGTGCCCAGGGCCAAGGAGCAATGTAGTGTGGCTTCCAGGGTCAGGCTGGTTGCAGAGGTAATTTTGTGCTTCACTATTTGAGTCAGCTGTGTGTGCTGACATTTTCTCAGGAGTGGCTTGGGGACAGCAAATCTTGACAAGGCATTTTATTTGAGACAGTGTTTTTTTTTCGCCCAAGGTGACCTGGAACCACGATCCTCTTGATCTCTGCTTCTTGAGTATTTATAATTGCAGGTGTGAGCCACTGGTGCCCTGCCAGAGTGTATTTTCTTGTGACTGAAAGATGAAAACAGGTATGGTAGCGAACGAATTTAAGAGGATGAGGCAGGAGGATCAGAGTTCAAGGCCAACCTAGCCTACATAGAGACCCTAAAAAAAAAATGCAGAAAGGAAAAAGAAATCTATAAAACTTGCTAGTTTAAAAACCCTTGGTCCTTCCTATTATTGCTTATACTGTCTGTACAACAAAATTAGAGATAAGGGCAAAATAGTTTCTGTCGGGTATCCAGGGGGTGGGAGGGAGAGGGAGGGGGCAGAGTGGGGAGTAAGGGAGGGGGTGGGGGAAGTGGGAAGAAATTACCCATTGTATGCACATATGAATAAAAAACAAAAACAAAACTTGCTAGTTTACTAGAAAACAAACTCAAACTACTACAGTGTGGGACGTTTTTAAAAGTAACTTGGCAGGCTTCATTTTGTTTCTGTGTTATCAGATTCTTTTTTAGTTTTACAGTATAGAGGTTTAAAATTAAAATTCAAGGGCTGAAGGATGGCTCAACTGGTACTGTGCTTGCCTAGCAAGTGCGAGGCTTGAGTTTCAAGTCCAGTACCACCATCAAAAACAAAAACGAAAAATCAAACCTAGACCTAGGTTTTGTTAGTTTTTGTTTTGAAGGTTATTAAGAAACATGTTTTCTGTATGCTCATTCCCTTATTTTACAATTTACAGGCAGGTTAGCTGCACTCTGTCTAGACTCCTTTTAGAAAAAGCAAAAAACAAAACAAAACAAAAAACCCAACAATATGTTTTTCTCTTGTCTTGGGCTCCACATGGTGAATTACAGGAGAATTTACTAGGCACTCAGAACAATACGCCTTCCTAATTCATGCAGTAAGAGCTTTCAAAAAGCCTCCTCTCTCTTTTTACTTTTCCCAGGCTTACCTAAACGCCCCCAATACTTAGAATAACTTACACCTAACGTGGCACAAGAAACAGCCCGGTACCATACAGGTCCAGGTGGAGCGGGACGCATCAAGGGAAATGCAGTTTAATCTGCAAGGAGCCGGAAGGAATGGGTGCTGGAGAGGCTCCGGTGAGGGGAGTCCCCCAAGTTTCCAGTTAACGATCCCTCCGCCCGGCACAGCCTGGGCCCGGACCTTTACGCGCCACGCTGCGGTCTAAGGTGTATCATCTCTCGGTTTTATTGTCGAGGTTCCAAAAGAACACATAAAAGGAAAGACGCTCTGCGTCGGCTTTGAAATGTAGGGCAAGCTCCGGCTGGGGTAGGGAGACTACGAGGGAGAGAAATGAGGCAGGATGGGTGGTGCACAGGGAGGGAGCAGAGCTTCAAGAGTTCAGACGATTTTTTTCCCACGCTAGACCCGCTGTCCATTTTCCCATTTCCGGTGCCTCCCAGGCTGGAGTGGACCCTTGCGTTGGGGGTTGGTCCTCGGTTCCGCCCGGACTTGCGCACGGCCTGCCTCTGCCCTCACCCGGTGACAGGTGGGGCCACGAGCCGCCACCAGCCCTCCACCTCGTCGCCCGGCCTGCCGGAAACTAGAACCGCTTCCGGTTGCGCCCGGCCCCTGAACTCCGACTCCCATCGGCCCCCGCGAAAACCGCCCCGGGGGTCGCGCTGGAGCTGCCGGAACTCGTAGTTCCGTCTTCAGCCGCGCTTCATAGCCGGAAACGGGGGCGGACGGGGCCGGGAACTACGGAGGCGAAGGTACGGGTGGCAGCGAGGGGTCAATCAGCGCCGGGCGTGGGGTTGGCGGCGAGGCCGGCGGCGGTGGTTGGGGTTGGGTGGGAGGAGATCTACTGGCACACACGAGGTGGAGGGCTGAGCCGCCGCCGTTGTCGCGAGTGCGGAGTCGGGACTAGAGCTGCTTTCGCGGCAACGCCGGAGATCGTGTCGCTGGTCGCCGGCCCTTGTGTCTGTCTGTCTTCCTTGGGGTCAGCGCGGCCTGCTCCGCCCCGGCGGGACGCCCCCGCCTCCATTTCCCGCCCTCTCTTCACCACACACACGGCCCCCCCGATCATGGATCCCGGCAGTGGTGGTGGCGGCGGCGGCGGCGGCGGCGGCAGCAGTGGCAGCAGCAGCGACTCGGCGCCCGACTGCTGGGACCAAGCGGACATGGAGGCCCCCGGGCCGGGCCCCTGCGGTGGTGGCGGCTCCTTGGCGGCGGCAGCCGAGGCCCAGCGGGAGAACCTGAGCGCGGCCTTCAGCCGGCAACTCAACGTCAACGCCAAGCCCTTCGTGCCCAACGTCCACGCCGCGGAGTTCGTGCCGTCCTTCCTGCGGGGCCGGCTCAGTCGCCGCCTCTCCCGGCCGGCGGGGCAGCCGGCGACCACGGAGCGGGCAGCGGCGCGGGAGGCCCTTCGGGTAAAGGGCCTGGGCGCGGGACCCATCGGGTCGGGTCGGGTCGGGTCGGGTGGGAGGGACTGGAGGGACGCGCGGCCACGAGCTCGGGGCACGTGGGGCGCTGACAGCGGCGCCCGCCGGTCAGGGTGGGGCGTCCCGAACCCGGATCCCCGGCGAGGCCAGGGGTCGCCCCTCCCCTGGAGACCCGCAGTCACCCTTGAGAATGGGGACTGTATGGGACGAAGAGGACTCGCGGCCGGCCAGCGCCACGAGGCCCGGGAGTGGGGACAGATGGAGCCGGGCGGTGGGCGTCGAGAAAGGCGAGACTTGGGGAGGACGAATGAATGCCGGACTTGTCCCTTCGTCGTAGGCCCTGAGCCTCCCCTGCTGCCGCTCCTGCTCTTGGAATCATAATTACGTTTTAAATATCTATGGCACCGAACCGTCCTGAAGGAATCCCAAGATGCATTGCAGCCGAGCGGTCGGTCAGGAACTGTCGGTCGGCTCGCCATACAAAGATCTTTTTTTTTTTTTTTCCCCTACCCTTAACATTTTGTATGCTTGAAAAGTTGAGAAAGTTCAGATTACTCACTTAATAAGAACGTACGGTAGGAAACCGCATCGATTTACATGCTGATTTTTCTGAAGCCGGATTTAGACTTTCCTCCTTTGTTAGTGACACGTTTAGAATTTTCACTGCTTTAAGATCCTTGACCTTACTGGGGTTGCTTGGTGTAAAACGCAGTTTGTGTCGGTAGCCTGGTCTGTTTCTTGTGACACTGGAATACTTACAACTTGATGGTTGTCAATGGCCAGAAATTTCTACACATACTTTCCTGTGATTTCAAGTCTTTAATAACTGCCTTTATTTAGAAGCCGCTTAAGTGGTAGGTAGCAGGCTTTCAGATACTGATTTTGTAAAAATGTCCAATGAGTGAACTTAAGTATTCTCCCCGTACTGGTGTTTGAGGAACTGTCAGTATTGTCTTAAAGAAAAAAAGGAAAAAGGCCGTAATCCTTTAATTAATAATCAAATAGTTCTTTGATTATTTCTCTAGGACCTTGGTGGGCTGAATCAGAGACTTTGCCTGCTCATTGTAAGTGAGAGCATATTGTTGATTCCTCTGTGGAAAGTTCTGTATTGCAGCCAGATGTGACCTGTATTACCGGTGCTCGCCTGAAATACCTGCAATCCCAGCACTGGAGGCTGACTCGGGAGGGTTGGTGTTTCAGGCCGGCTCAGGCAACAGTGAGACCCTGTTTGGGTGGTGGGGGGAAGTTCTGTATTGTAGTGTTTGTTAGATTAAATGCTCTTGGAGTTTAGTTTCTCTGAAACTTCTGCTACAGTTTGCTCTAGAGGTAAAAGGATGGAGTTTGGAGAAATAACTTCTGTGAAGAATGTAGGAGAACACACAGTTTGGATTTTGGTTATGCTTATTGACTGGTATTTTATTTGTGAGGGTGGTTGATGTTTTCCTTTTGAACGAGGAAGCTTTGGTCACTTGAACTAGTTCAAGTAGTAGGAGCACCAGCTCCTACAACTGCTTAGTGCCCAGTAGGTTCCATCTATCTAGTCATTTTCTTTCTTGGTCTCCCTCTTTTCACTGGAGCCACCAGCACCAGTCTGAGTAAACGTGACTCCCTTTACAGCTGATGCAGCCATCAGCAATTTAAGGGACAACCATCCCTAGAGCCAGGCGTGGTTTTTGAGTGATTGGGCGGTACTCTTTCTTGCTGACATTCACTAATGCCTTAGGAAGTGCTTGTCAGGGAGTCCTTGTGTTGTGGTAATTTTTTTTCTAATCAGAAATCTATTTTGGTATCAATGACTGTTTCATTTGCTTCTGTGAAATGTCACTTAATGCTGAAACAATGATGGTGTGTGGGATATCTGAAAAAGAACAGATTTTCTAAATTGAGCTGCAGAGCCAGGTAGGAATGTTAGCCTCACCTGGGTGTCTAAGACGAATGAGATCCAGAAAGTGCCACCATCAGTGATGTAGAGAGAAGTGCCAGGAAGATTGGAAATAGCACCTAGACTGCAACTTCCCAGGGAACCCAAAAGTTTGCAAGTTTGTTATAGCAAAGAAATGGACAGTAGGGTTGAGGCCTAGTCTTTCATTGTCAAGCCATAGCTGAAATTCACAGTTGGGAGTGTTTTTAAACTAGACACCCAGCTATGGAATAACTTCTAACAGTGCCTGTCTACAGTGGATAGCTGTCATTTTTCCCAGAAACAGGCTGGTCTGTCCTTTCTCCAAAATAACAGTGCTGCTTGGAGCGAATGTCATTCAACTTCGCAGAAAGCTGATGGGTATATATGGCCTGTGTTCAGCCATCTCAACTCAGAACTGGAGAGTCAGTATGTTGACCTTGGATCTCTGAAAATAGAAGAATATAGGTTTCCAAAAAATGATTAAATAGAGCCTATGTAAATGCAATTAAGCATAATCCATTTAAGTGCAATTCTCTGCAGAGCCAACTAAATTGGCCAAGTGATTCTCATTAAAATGCTCCCCGCCAGGTGCCATGGCTCATGCCTGTAATCCTAGCTACTCAGGAGGCAGAGATCAGGAGGATCGTGGTTCAAAGCCAGCCTGGGTCAGTAGTTCTCTTGACCTTATCTCAAAAATAACCATCACCAAAAAAAGGGAGGGGGGGCTGGTGGAGTGGCTCAAGGTGAAGGCCCTGAGTTCAAGGTGTATGTGGGGGAAATGAATGAAAATGTAGAAGACAAAGGTTAACGTGACTAGAACAGACATCTTCTGAAGGAATGTTCCAGTTTGTACCTCACTGGGTCTTTTTTATTGCTAGATGGGAGCCAGCCTGAGCAGTGTTAAGTAATCAGGGTTACTTGAATTCTCAGAGCAGCAGGAGTGTCTGAAGTAATGGTGTTAGTGTTCTTCACACCCTCCCACTTCCATTGCCTCTCAGAACTCCACCAGTAAGAAGAGTGTAAGACAAAACTGCAGTCTGTAGCACCTCCTTAGAGCACTGAGCAAAATTATATTGTGGGATTTAAAGGAAAATGATTGAGGTATAAGTCATCCACAACAAAATTCATTTTTTTTTTTTTTTGTCAGCACTGGGGTTTGAACTCAGAGCCTCATGCTTGCTAGGCAGACGCTCTACCACTTGAGCCACTGTGCCAGCTCCAAAATTCACTTTTAAAAATGCACAAGTAAGTGTTTTTTTTAGTATATTTGTAAAGTTAAGCAACCAGTGCTACTTGATGGATGCTTTGTGATCACTGGCTATTCTCAAAAGTGATGTCTTCTGGGCCACCAGGGTAGAGAGGATTCAGAACAAACATGTTTGTCCAGAGACGCTCTTACACGTCTTGCATTAAACGCACCTGCTAAAGATTAAATAGATAAGCCCCACCACCACCACGTGTGCTGGTGATGGAACCCAGGGCCTCGCTCAGTGCTCTGCCACTGAGCCCCAGCCCCAGCCTAGGGTTCTTGGTCTGGGATTTGTTTGAGGGCTTCAGTGCCTGCAGTGACAGTACTGACATAAAGGCGCTCTCAGGCTCATTGGGACTCTTAACTGGAATAGAGTGGGAGAGGAGATGGCGGTAATATAGGGCCTCTAGTTTCCCCTTTCCCTGCCTCAGCCTACTGTTCACCAGCTTTTGCCTCGTTCCATGGGCTCCTGTGTATGAGTGACTTGCGTAAGGACTGACGGAACAAGTGATGGCAGCAGCTAGTGCTGTGCTAGGTTGAGCAGCTGTTTGAACTGGAAATTTTGACGAAACAAGCCTCTTTGGAGCAGGTGTGATCCGGCGCTGTTAGTACAAAGCTTATTTGCTTCGTTCTTTATTTTTCACCTTTTCTGAACTTAGCAATGAAAATTCATCAGGACAAGTTAGGGAAATATTGTAGAGGACAAATTGTAAGTCTTGATTCGCTTTAGAATATTAAAAATAGAATTGTTCTGGTTGAAGAGAAAGGAAGGAAAAAGATTTGATAACCTTTTGGGGTGAGTTAACAGTATTAGAATGGAATTTTTTTTGCAAGTGACTCAGGTTGCATAAATCGTGGTCCTCAAGGAGACTAGAAAGGGACCAAATAACAGCCATACAAAGGGGTAGGGGCTTCAGAGCTGAGAATTCAGAATCCCTCTGTAAATCACTTCATCTTCTTCCCTTAGTCACAAAACAGAAGAGGTGTCTGTTTTCTGCTAAGAATTCTTGGAGTAATACCTTGGTTTTGTTTAAGTTTTGTTAAGATGGGTGGAACAGAGCCCTGTTACCTTGTTACAGCACTGTGTCTTTGATCCAGCAAGCAGTGACTTTAGTTACTGCGAGTGTGTCCTGGCTGGTGTATTCACACAGGTTAGTGTAGAATTTTGTCATTCTTCCCTCAGCTCTTGAACATTTTTGGGAAGCAGGAACTTTGCCACTAATGAAGGTTCTTGATTATAGTGAGGTCTTTCACCTTTGCCAGTTGTTGATTTCATACCAAGGCTGCTCAGAGGTTTGTCTTTGTTCTCAGTAGCTTTTAACACAGCATACCATGGCAGTAGGTATCTTGTTTGTTCATAAATTGCTTTGTTCTTAGGGAACTTAGTTGCTACTGTCCTCCAAGTTGAACCAGTTTCCCATCTTAGAACCAGTAAGGGTTTCCCGAGCATCTTTGATTAGTCTAGCCTAGAAGAGGTGATGTTTAATTCCAAGATTCTTGCCAGCTGGGTGATTACGTGTCATTGCACTTGGAAACAAGTGCATCCTGCTAAGTGTTCCGTGCCCATCTCCTTTGGGACACTTCTCTTTGTATTTTACCAGGGCTATCTACCAGGGCTTACATATTTTAACACACCACAAATTGTTTCTGAAGTAGATGGGATATAAATCATAACAAGACTGTTGGGTTGCCTGAGAAACAGGGGACTTGCAGTTACTGTACGGACAGCCTTGTCAGGCTGCTGTGTGGCTCTGCTGTAATGAGCGGATCAGTAGGTTTCTAGAACGGGCAGGCTGCAAGTGGCTCTAGTGGACGTATGGTCCGTTTTGGATAAAG